TCCCCGGAAGCGGAGTCGCATGCCTTGCACCCTATCGTGCGATCCGTCATTCTCCAAGAAGATCCGCCCCATCCCTGCAGATCCCCTCCCCCTCTTTTCTACCCAGTCCGTGACCACAGCATCCGGGGTCCAAGATTCTCACCTTATCCACCCTTAGGGTTGCTGCTTGTCTTTATCGCGCGACAATGACCGCCCTTCCTATGCGGCCCAGGTAGTCACTGAAGAGCGCCGCTCCGAAGACCCTCATCCCCGAGCCGTGGCAACCAGCAATGCGCTCTCTTCCGCCAACTCGCCCGCCACTGCGCGCTCATCCCGAACAAGGGCCGCCCACTTTCCCCTAAATCAGCATTACAACTCCCCGATTCGCCGTCATGTCTGGTATAGCAAACGTCGCCTGTGGACTCGCGCGCAGCTGGACCAGGAGCGTACCGAGTTCTTTGAAACGAGAGTGACGGGTCGTCCGGAAGTCTGGGCGGCTTTGTCCGCGGCCGTCTCATTGATGCGCACCGGCGACCTCGAAACGGCGCAGAGTTTTGTGGACGCAGCTGGGATCACCGTACCCACGGGCGACCTCTGCCAAGGCTGTTACGACGAACAGGGCGTCCTCTACCGGCTGCCGCAGTGCATCGTGAGCGACCCGGAGAATATCGTGCGGTCCGATCAGGACCAGGATCAGGACGACTTCGACACGGACGATGGCAAGCTCTCTTCGGACGAAGCTTCGGGAGACGAATTAATCGCCGACGATGTCGAACGCCGCCGGGACGAGAAGGGCAAGGCCAGCGAGCGTGACCTGATCCGGGTCCGCGCACGGTTGAGCGACAGAGGCGGTCCCGACCTTACTTTGTCCGTCGTGAAGACGATGAATGTCGGTTTGATCGCCCGCAAGCTGCAGCAAGAGGCAGGAGTACGTCATCCTGTGCGTGCTTTTTTCTTCCTGGGATATGGCAATCTGACTATGGGTATAGATACCTCGCACTCACCGCGTGAGAATTGCCTACCTAGGCAGGATGCTCAAGGAACATGTGCCCCTGGTCGACCAAGGATGGAATCCCGTCCACGTAATCAACGCCCTCGTTGTCCCTCGTCTGTCGGTGTCATGACAGTGCATGCCGCGACTGCTTCTCGATAGCTCACATGCACACAGCCCGCCGGCTTGCATGAAACCCGCGGACTACTCACCTAATCCGGACGACGGTCTGGTTCAACAAACACACCTGATTGACTTATGCTGATGATATCGATACGTACCTAACCAGCCACGCCGGCATCATCACCAACCTTACATTGATCGTTCTACCCGAGTGTTATGGCGTTACGTCTACTATTCCTTGTCCTTGTCCTTGTCATGTCTTTGTTTTGCACAATACCCCAACTGGTGTTATTTACCGCTCTGTCTGTCTCTCTAATGTCCCGTCTATCAACGACCACGCATTTTCTATCTAATTTACGAACATGCCATGATGCTTAACCTCCGATATCCTCTCAGACTTATGATTCCCTTCAACTACAATCACAACCACAATTATCCTCCCTAAACACCGAGCCAACCCTAACCAATCGCTCCCTCTACCCCATGACCTAGCATACATAATCCATGAATATGACTTTAATTAATCCCGCACATACAAACTTACACGCATACATATACAAACAAAAAAGCAAGCAAGCAAACAAACACCCAACCCCAAATAAGCAACCAGAACTATTTACCCAAAGCACTAAACTTCGTTCCCTCTCACACCCCCGAAATAACCAGCAATATATAACCAGACAGTAACACTCACCTTCCACCGTAAAGATATATTCACAAGCCGTACTAGGAAAAGACTTCTATAGCTGAGTTGTTCTGAAAGGGTAAAAAGGAAACAAAAGAAAGAGGGATGAGGGTAGAAGTACTCCGCAGAGAGAGGAAAGAAAGAAAAGTAAAAAAAAAAAAGAAGTGCATCATCCGTGAATCGAACACGGGCCTCATCGATGGCAACGATGAATTCTACCACTAGACCAATGATGCTTCGGCTGCGGACCAGTACGTTATTTGATTCGCTGCTTGTTTTTCTTTCCCTAAATTGTGTTTGATAAGGGGGGAGGTTTGAGGGCAAGTTTTGTCATGCGAGATTCAGCTGTCATTGTCATTTAACGAATTGGTAGCGGAGGAGAAGTAATGTTTGATGTGTATTAAGTACAGAGATAATAATTATTGTCAATATAGAGCCGGCGGTAACTGGCATAACATCTAGCCATCATATCCCTTGACAGTGTGTCTAACCTAATACAATCTGCCGTTCTCGGCTTCTCTGCCCTTGGGCGTCTGTCCGGATCGTCTCTTGAACACCCGGCAGACCACCCTGGCACCTTGCACTACGCCCCTCACCAGGCTAGTGGGGTTGTAGTGCTTGACCCGGAACATGTAGTACAGGGCGACGGTGCCCAGGATGTTGAACCCCACGTACGCCCATCCGATTCCGAAGTTACGCCAGCGTTGGCTGTAGTCTTTGACTCGTCAGTATGTGTGAAAGGAGAGAGCACATGTTAGGGTGGGACAAACGTACAAATTTCGCTCGATGCGAGATATTGGTCGGCATTCTGGAGTTGACAGTATTGGCATCCCTGGGTCGCTGTTGGGTTATACAGTTGTCCCGCAGCAACTTGCAAATACTGCGACATATATTGCCCACAGGTCTGACCAGACGGGGGATTGAACACACTCATCTCCTCCCTGGAACACTGAATCCCCCGTCCGTGTAACCCGGTCGCTGTGATGCCGGCGATCAGGTACGTCAGGGGGGAGACCCGGTACATGAATATCCAGAAGCCTGGCAGGGCTTGGGGTGGTTGCATGACACCGTTGAACGTCAGAGCCATGATGAACATGAGGGTTGCGATGGAACCTCCTGTTTCGGCATCGGGCAGTGCGGAAATTATCAAAGCGGCAAATGTTGAGGTGAACACGTAGAACTGTACGACAAAGAGTAACATGAGCCCTTGTCGATGGGAGGCTTGATTGGCTCCGTAAGTAGGGTAATAGTAACACGCGTAAGCAATGATTCCGGCGAGAACCTGGTACGGTATCTCCACAAGAACATTGGCGATGAGAAATGCTGCCCATGAGTAGGCTTTCGATGGCCGTTCTCGAACTTCATAGAGTGACCGCTGAACCACAAACTTTGGCATGATCCTAGAGCCTTGTCAGCATGAATTGTATCAAAGTAGAATGTCACCTACTGCTGCACTAGGGTCGAGAAAATCGAACAGAGCATGAAGGCGCTGAACAGAACATCCTGGAACCCCTGCAAGTTGCTGTCTGGTTTGAAAAATGTGAAGCCGATGAACAAAGAGGAAGCCGTAGCTAGAATCAGCTTCGCCCACACGTAAGAGGGTTCGCGCCAATACTGCTGGAAGACACGATGGGTTACGTGCCACAACTGACTGGGGAAGGGCATGGCATATTCTCCCTGCTGTGTGTTATCGTCGCTACTCTCCGGGACTGAAGCCCTTTCCTGATGGATGTTGGCAATCGCCGTCTGAATATCTCTGGCCTGTTGACTATCGTTCCAGACAGCTGGCCAGTCTTTTGTAGCCCTTCCAGAAGCACCAGCTCCAATGATCTCGAGCATATATTCCGCAGGCTTATCCACATTAGTTGAAGCTGTCCAAGGTGAGTTGGCTACTCACATTTTCTGATGGCCCACAAGGCCTTGCCCCGTTTGCTTGAAAATAGTCCAGTAAGGTGCGCGACTGGTCACCAATATCACCAAAGTAAACTGTTCGTCCTCCTTTTGCTAGAAAGAGGAGGCGATCGAACTGCTGAAACAAGAGCGCGCTGGGTTGGTGAATTGTCGACAGCACGGCTTGGCCATGATCTGCCAGTTTTCGGAGGAACGAGCAAATAGCCCAAGAACTCTGTGAATCTAAGCCACTTGTCGGCTCGTCAAGAAAGATAAGTAATGCAGGCTTTGCAGCAAGCTCGACACCAATTGTCAGTAGTTTCCTCTGTTCAACATTTAGCCCTTCCCCTGGTGTTCCAACAATAGCACTGGCAAAGTCCTGCATGTTAAGCATTTCGATAACTTCCTCAACATACTCGTGCTTCTTTTTCGTAGAGACCGACTTCGGCTGGCGCAGAAGCGCACTAAAGCGTAAGGCTTCTCTGACAGTTGTTGTGGAAAGGTGAAGGTCCTGCTGCTGCACATATCCAGTCTTCCTCTGGAAGCTGCTGTCAAGTGGCTTTCCATCCACCAGCATATCACCGGTAACGACACCTATCGACACGCGTTTGGCTAGCACATCGAGCAAGGTGGTTTTCCCGGCGCCTGAGACGCCCATCAGCGCTGTGAGTGTTCCAGGCTTGACCCAGCCGGAGACGTTATCCAAGAGACGCCGTTGACCTCCCTTGACCGGTATATCATAGCAAACGTTCTGCCATGTGAAAATACTACTCTGTTTGGGAAGAGCAGATGTGTCCTTTTCTGCCTCAGCAGCTCTATGAGCTAAAGCGACATCAGTGGTACCGGCGTCTCCTCCGGGCTGTTTGTCGAGGTTGCGCATTTGCGGAGGTACATGGCCTCGCCGAAAGACAAGAAACTCGGCTTTGGACGACGTCGCAGAGTTGACTTCAGTTGCAATCAGGTAGAGAGCCGTGAAAAATATCCAGAACCCTATAAGAATGCCCAGATTCCGCCACTCGTGTGCATAAGTGTAGCTGTATTGTGTTTGGATATAAGCATCTCCAGACACGGTCCTTTCTCCAGCCACACTGCCTCGGACAGAACAGATGAAGGAGTCTCCACTCAAGGTCGGATATGCTGGTATGAACTGTGAACACGTAAAGCGCCGGCCGTGGAATTCATTGGCGATCAAAGCCTCGAACGTATAATAGACGGGGTTTATCCACCGTATCCAGCTAAACCACGGGATGGCGGACATCTGAGGCGTAGGAATCACAAAGCCCGTGTAGATGACGATAGCCAACACTATGACTCCAGCCATGGCCATTGCTTGTGCAAGAGTTTTTGTTGAAGCTGCAAGGGTCCGAAAGATGCCAGACATTGCCAGTGTGCTCAGGAACGTAAACAAGAAGAATATGAAGAACTGGGATGGTTCATATCGCTATCACTCTTGTTAATACCACTATGCAGATCCGTTCATACCATTATATACTTACCAAACCAGCTAGGAAATAGAAGATGATATTGAATACCACAGCAGAGACGAATTTGACGGGAATATCAGACACAATACCACCGAAGGCTTCAGTGAAAGGATGGACAAAGGCGTATGACGCTTGCTTCTCAATGATTGGACGTTGATCATAGAGGGAGTTAATCTCTGTAATGCTAATGAGAGCGTTCATCCTGAGCACGAAGTCAGCCAGCCTTATCCCGATGCAAAATCATAAAATTTCGGCTTGTATAAAAATGTTGCCTTGATAGGAATAAATGCGTTACGTGTTGGAAGACTTACAGCACGGCGAAGAAAAGCGCGGCCCCTTTACTTTGGAAGCCCGCCGTGGCATTCGGTGTTCTGGGAGTCTTAGCATGAGTTTGAACCTTAGAAGAGGGAGCTAACCCATAATACATCGAACCTATAATGAGGGACATTGCAATTCGCCCGATGACGTTCGTCAGCGTAGAAGGTTTATCGTTCCAGATCCTGAGACAATTGGTTAGCACGTTCTCTATACAGAAATCTGATAAGCAGCAATTGTTAACCTTTGATACGCCCGAATGGTGCAGAGCTTAACCTGCATTGGAATTGAAATGATGTATGGACTCTTCTGCCAGACATGATTCGCTTGTTTCAGTCGCTTCATTTCACCAAACGTCTGCTCGTGCTTTCCACCTAAAGGAAACTCTTTCAGGTGTTGTTCGATTTCTTGTTGAAGCCTGGTGTACTGAGGACTGGTCTTCCAATATTTCTCAAACTCATCCGGAGTCCGAGGAACCCTGCTCTCCATTCCTTCACGCGGTTGACGCTCTTGAGGATTGGTAACCGAAGTCAAGAAGTCACCAGTGGTCTGGCGAGGAGGACAGTACCAGCCCATGTTGACGAAATATTCTTTGGCCTCACTGCACGGCCCAAAGTAGATCTCCCGTCCTTCATACAGGACAATTGCCTTGTCAAAAACGTCGTAGATGGCCTGTGATGCCTGGTAGATAGCGACTGCATGGCAGGTACCACCTAGGTTTGATGAGACTCGTAGGGCTTTAACAAATTCCAACGCACTCGCAGAGTCAAGGCCTCTGGTGCTGTTATCCCATGCGCCAACAGGCGCCCCGGAGACTGTCAAGAAGTCAACCAAGTGTCCATTATGCGTGATGAGTACTATGAAAGCTTACCCGCCATTTCCGCAAGACTAAATCCAAGTTAGACACTGAGAGAAGCGCGAGAAAAGGAAGGATAAAGCACGAACCTGACTCGCTTTCGTTCACCACCTGAAACACCTCTGATGTAGTCATCACCGACTGTGAACAGCATTAGCAACCAAGAAACATTCAGTCTCTCATCAAGCACAGAGACGAACCCTTTGTGTTATACGTATGCGACAGACCAAAAATGGTCATCACCACCTGGGTAATATACTTGGCATACTGTTGTCGACTGATACCTTGCAACCGAATCTCCGGGGCCCTCGCAGCAGCAGCGAATTCCAGCGTTTGACCAACCGTCAGATGCGGGAAATGCTTATCCACCTCCTGGTTGTAGAGCACCTCCCCCTTGAACTCCCTATGCATCTTCTCCATCGATATTCCATTGAACTGGATCTCAGAGCTCTTCCGGAGCTTCAGACCATGTAGTTCCCCGCATATCGACTTGAGAAAGGTGGAACAGCCACTGCCAGGACGTCCCAGCACGATCAACAGCTCCCCACTCCTGAGAAGCCCATCAAAGTCACGCAAGATATGCTTTTCCGGGGCGCGTTGCACACAAGGCAAGTATTCCTGTGGTCTGAACGGGGCCAGCAGGATCGAGGACACGTTGTTCTGGTACTGTAAAGCCGAACCCGAACCCGACACATTAAGATGCTGAAAGACGACACCAGTCGAAGGGGGACGGGGAATGCCCTCTCGGTCCAACATTTTCAGCACCATTCGAACCCATTTGTAATGATCAAATTGATCACTGGTAGGATCAAGGACCGGGTCGCCAATCTCCAGCCCTTCGAGTGTGTCTTTTCGTTCGATTGTTCCTCCAACGGTCGTGTCGAGTGTGCTCTGGCGCCGGGGGAAATTCGAAGCTAAGCGATGTAATTCGGCTTTTTGCTCTGGCTCCATCTCGTCGAAGAACGAGCTGTCCTCGCGCTCCATTCTCAATGGCCTTTGGGGGTTATCTTCTTCAGCTTCTACCTCCTCCTGCTTGGAGGAGCTGGGTTGTGAGCTCCGGTGCTCTCCGTTCTGGGCCATCTTGGGAATAGACCCGAGGCAGAAAAGAAAGTGCAAAACGGACTCGGTTTCGGGAGAAAACAAAGCTCGCGCAGTGAGAGAGAAGAAAAGAACCCACGGGACCAGAGGGGGGTGGTAGAGCAGTCAAGTAAATTAAAGCTCCCTCAAAATTTGAGCACCGCGTGCCTTCCAGCCATGCAGTCCTTGCCTCGATTGGACAAGGATCTTACTCCCCGACATCATTAACTGAGCTAAAGTTCTCGGGGCGTGAAATAACATTCAGGACCCTCGGCCTTCCATTTGTTCACGTCGCAAGTGATGATGTCACCGTAACCCTGTGTGTGACGACGGGAAACCCAGCGACAAGGGACCATCATTGACTAAGGCTATTGATTCCTTCAATGGAACCAACAGGAGCTCTGAGGCCAGCGGGAAAAGCCAGCCGGGGGGTTGATTGCGTGCCTGGAGGGCTGGCATGGGGATCGTCCGGATGCGGAAGATCCGTGGTCTAGTTGTGTTGCTCGCGCGGATTGGGTTGTGTTGGGCAGACTACGTGTAACCTTTTCTAGGGGCATTGGCCGGGTAGATGAAGCTTGGGAAAATGGCTTGGAAATTGGATTCAATAGTAGTTGGGTAGAAGGTTCAATGCCGGTCAAGCTCTGTATTCGGAGCACAAAGGCTGAAGGAACAAAGACACGAATATGACATTGCACCAAGGCGATTAGTTGCACTGACCCCTGCATAGTAAACAGCGGAGTATCTCGGAATTCAAGCTGCCGTCCTCTGACGTGTCTATCTCGTTGATACACTACCCTAAAAAGAAAGCTGCCTGGGGAGAGATACGGATGTCGATCTCTAGAGGCAGATCATGGGGAAGCTTCATGCTCCTTAGTCAGCGGATGTTCAGCAGCCGCAGATCCGGGAGATGCAGTTATGCATTTGATGGAGTGAGACTTCGGATACCTTCATTGCCGATGCAGCGGCGTGCTGTTGACGGTGATCAGAGGCCTACATGCATCCGAGTGACAATTCCAGTGGCTTCGACTGGGATTGGTCTATGCAGGGCAAAAGGATCTCAACTGCCCGTTGAAGGGGCCCAAAGCAACCTCGTGGTCTCGCAAGCTGTACATATGATTCTGGCCTTGAGATAAAGGCGGCAGCTAGTGATAGTGTGATGAGAACCATGCATGGCACTTGTAGTTCCGACGGAAAGCATCGGAAGTCGACTGTTTGATTACAGAAGTCCATCATATTCATCCACAGTTGAGTACTGCCTTTCCACCGCTCATATCTTCCTACTACACAAGAGAGAAGTAAGTCCAGCTACTTTGTGTATGACTCTCATACCAAAGATCATAAACAGGGTCTATTAGGCTTTTCATACGGAGTACTCCATAAATAGGATGAAGACAAGGGTCAACCCCTATGCCAATCACTCTAGACCAAGAAAACCACCCCCCTCAGCCTGCCACACTCATTACTTACAATCACCACCACCTCCCACCACCACCTCACTCCCTACCCAATACTTCAAAGTCTCATACACCTTCCCCATACCAAAAACAAACTAACATCACAACCACCATCAAACTTATTCCCCAACTATACCCGATCCCCGCTAGCCTCCCCCACCTCCGCCCCACCCCAAATCACACTCAAGCCCACCAACCAATCACACCCATCCAGAGTCAAACCATGCAAACAGAAAATATCTCCAAAAAAAAAAAAAAGTCCGAATAGCTTCATTGGATTCCAGCAAGGACTCTCATTGCACTACCTGCGTGAGCAGTATTGGATACGCTACATCGTGAGAAGGAGAGGTGGTTTAATCGCATTGTTTTTGCGAACAGTATCACACTTGAATCAACACGTCCGATCATACGCATCTGGATCAATCGCAGCCATGTCCGACGTGACCAAGACTCCCTTCGTTAGGGATCTCGCTTCGAGCGGTACATATATCCTTCTTCCTCTTCATCCTTATCATCCGGTCACAGACTAATAGAATCCATTGGCAACAGACAAAAAACTCCGCGACAAAGCCACCGACTCCCTTACCCTTTTCCTCCGATCCAAAACCGACCTCACTCTCATCGAACTCCTCAAACTCTGGAAGGGCCTTTTCTTCTGTACGCCACTACCACCACCAACTTCCACTCCATACAATCCCAACCCCAACTCATACTAATGTTTCTAAAAGGCTTCTACCACTCCGACCGCCCCCTAACCCAACAAGCCCTCGCCCGCACCCTCAGCTACTCCCTCGTCCCGACCCTCCCCCGCTCCACGCTCCACCGCTTCCTCCGCGCCTTCTGGATCACCATCGGCCGGGATTTCCACTCCCTCGACCGTCTCCGTCTCGATAAATACCTCCACTTGATTCGTTGCTACGTGGGGGTTGCATTCGAGGTTCTCCTCAAGCCCACCACCGCCACCACTGCCTCCACCAACGGCAAGCGCAAGAGAGAGGAAACCTCATCATCAACATCATCGTCAAAGAAGCGCAACAACAAGAAGAACAAGAAGCAACCTCGCCAGGAAGAAGAGGAGGAGACAGCGCAAGACGAAAGCACTGCCAACGGGGCAGAGAAATGGGCGGCATTGGAATCTTACATCACAATCTTGGAGGAAGGGCCGCTGTGTCCGGTGAATTTCGACCCCGATCAGCCGCCCGCGAATGAGAAGGAGGATTATATCCCCATGCCGCATGGGCCGGATGGATTGCGGTACCATGTGATGGATGTGTGGGTGGATGAGTTGGAGAAGGTGTTGGAGTTTGAGGGGGAGGAAGGGGCGAGGAAGCCGAAGGGAGAGGTGCCGATTGAGCTTCTGTTGAGGCCGATTGAGAAGTTGAAGGCGGAGAGTCCGTACAAGCCTGTGCGCACTCGGGCCGCGGAGACTCTGGATGATGACCGGTTGGTTGAGTGGGGCTTCAAGACGAGGAAGGTGGAGGAGAGCGAGGAGGAAGAGAGTGATGAGGAGTGGGGTGGTTTCGATTGAGCTGTGTATAATATTTGTTATTGACAAAAAGTGTATAGATTGCGAGTTCGACTGCAGGGTGCTGTATTGCGGGGCTGGAGAACGCCGGCTATATATGAACGATATATAGTATTTGTAAGACTCTATGGCTGTCCGCTATGCTTGTGGACTGCGGTCTACCCACACATCAACTCTACAGAGAGCGCCACTTGGACTAAACGACAACAAAGCAAGCAGAAGTCTTGCGCCAGGGTATCATCACAGAGTGCGAAGACTGGAAAGAAAGAGAACGATAAAGAACATCCAAATGAGAACCCATACCTGCCATCAACTTTTCGTCTGACCAACCCCAACGTCTACGGCTTTGGCCCCTCTGCTTCGTAGAGATGTCCGGACTTCGAAAGTACCGTGCCCAAGCCTCGGTGGATTTCCGCCTGGAAGGCTTCAAAAGGCACGCTTTCACCGTCCACGCTGATGTATCCCTCCTTTTCACGGGGAACCAGCCGATACGCAAGGGCTTTGCGGATTTTGACGTCGGGCATGTCGAAGAATGCGCCTTCAGGGATCGCCGTCATCATCTTGAGCGTGGTTAGGCGACTGAGAGTCCCATCGATGGTGACGATATCCATCAGCCCGTCACTAGGCAAAGAGGCTGGGAAGAAGTTCGTATCCTTGGACATGATGGCCATGTTGCCCGCGTAGAAATTGCCAAGCGTCTCGGCTGGGATAACTTCCCAATCCTCCGGCAGTTCATCCAGCACGGTACCGAACGCGAGCTCGGGAAGTCCGTCAGGCTGTCCTACAGTAGGTTCGGCAGGACGACTGGGCGGCTGGCTCTGCGCGTACGCACTATAATGGTTTTTGATCGTCTGCTTATCATCCATCACCACCTTGATTGCAAGATCGCATGGATACGTTGCGCGGTACATGATCCGCTTCAGGAAACCGTATGTGAAACGATGAGCACCCATCCAGCGGATATCATCGGTTCCAAGGTCAGCCTCGGCGATGATGCCAAAAGATTGTGACAGGAAGGAGAGCGTGCGATTCTTTCCCTGTGTGATCGAAACCAGATCGATGGGGGTCCGGACGCCCTTCACAATTTCCAAAGCTGCCACCGAAACACTGCCGGTTCCGCACAGATTCCAAGCCATCGCATTTCCGGACCCGCAAGGTATCATTGCAACGGCGATCTTGGCCAACGCTTCGCGGGCATTGGGCTTCTTAGCCAGGCCATTGAAGACTTCGTACGGTAAACCATCTCCGGAGCAGCAGATAATCGCATCATAGGCATTGACGTCGAGTTGCTCCACAATTTCCACCGCGTGGCCTCCGTGCGTTGTTTCCTGCACGTCCACCTGACAGCGCGCAGCAGCAAAGACGGGTGCTGCATACGTCGAGTACAATTTGACAGCGTGCCCTTGACCGCCGAATGGGTTGACCAAGACTTTGAGTCTCTTATACCGTTTCGCGGAGCCATAGACTACGTCTAGGAATCGATTTGTCCATGATTCAACGGCCGCTTTTTCTTCGGGAGCGAACGGGTATCGCAGGGCGGTCACACGGACATCCTGTTTCGATGCCGACTCCGCATAGGTGATGGTCAGGCCTTCCGGGGAAAGATCGGCGTCCAGGATATTGTAGAAACCAATGGAGTGCGTGGGTTTGGCTGTTTTGTTGGCGATGCCGCAACACCCACGCTCAGATTTGCGCATGGAGCGTTCGTCTGGGCGAAACCCGAAGCTGCGTCAACACGGGAACGAGGTCCGACACCGACTCGGGATCCGCGATTGAGCATGGAGACTTACCGACAATCAGAAGGGAGTCACCTCCCAAGGTGAGGGAGACCGAGTTGGCGACTATCAGGGTCGCATCATGTTCTAACAGCTGATCGCGGGTTTCCGGAAGATCCGCGTTGTTGAACGACGGGCGCGGAGGGCCATTGGGGGTGGTCATGGTGCCTGGCAAAGGGCTCGGCGTGGATAGGAGGAAATCCGAGGCGATTTCAGGGACGGGCAGGGGAGTGAGGGAGGAGAGAGAGAGTGACGAGGGATCTAAGAATAAACCATAAGAATAAAACTGCAGAAGTCAAAAGAGGGAAGAGGAGAAGTGGAGGCAGGCGTTGGGGGAATGAAACGGGCAACTTCTCAGGTCAGGACGAGCGGAGAAAGAACGGAGAATAAAGCCGTGGGAAACCAATGAAGGGCGCGCAATCGGCGGCCAACTTTTATGGCTGGCGGGCTCCACTCCGGCCTGCTGGTAGCACTTATATAGATAGTTGTCTCCACCGATAAGAGCCATTGTTGGATTGTCACTACATTCATTCATCCTGTTCCTTTATCCCTCTTCCATGACAGGGCCCCCCTTCCTTCCGATCCTCAATCCGGGGGTTGCGGCAGGGGATTCCGAGAGCTCCGCAAGCATCCACTCCCACGCGCCGCGCTCAGCCTTTTCGCGTCCATCTGCTCACCTCCATAGGGTTAGTTGATCGATGAGTGACCACTGGCTCTTGCAGGACTCTGGCTCTAAACATGCGGACCGTCGCTGGTCCTTCTGGCATCTGGCGATGTCAAAGGATCGAACCCCCTTGCCCCCTGCATCGGGATCGGGATCGGGCAAGGGCATCGCTCCGCACAGCCGAGGTATCGCATCGACTGCGGGGGCGGCGGGGATGCAGGTCTGCAGGCTTGCAGGGATACAAGGACGTGCTTGGCCAACGTGTTACAGAAGGGTTCGGGCAGTCCCGGACGGCATCAAAGAAAAGCCTAACCATCCCCGGGGATGGTTTGCCATGGCAGTGTAGTACATACAAGAAAACGTCATCAAAATGCGTTCTTCCATTGAAAGATAAAGTCTTTTCTCATCCAGAACAACACAGTAAGAGGTGCATATAGTCAACAAATTCGTCCATTAGAAGAACACAGAAGAGGGAAGAAGCGCAGTGGAAAAGTCGAACAGGCGGGTCATAGAACAATAAGGGTACTGGTAGTAGTGGCTATTCAAATACGGCTCAAAGGGGATACTCTATTCATGCGGCGGTCGCCTTGAGGCCCTTCAGAGACCCCAGGCTCAAGGCCAGACCCTGCGAACGGCTTCTTATCCGTACAAAGCCGGTGATCGGCCCATCCTCTCCCTCCTTCTCGATGCTCAGGTTCGCAAGGGCGTCCTCACCTGTAACATTTCACGTTAGCGGCCATCCAAACACATGGAGGTGGACATCGATGACTTACCAAATACGCTCCGGGCATATAGATTGGCACTCAGGAACCGACAGTCGCCCTTGAGAGAGGCCTCGGGGGTCAAACATGCCATGTTGGTGCTCTCCATCAGCTGTTTGAGGAACTCGCGCAGGCTCTTCGCCTTGGAGTTAATGTTGACCTTGTTCTCCCATTCAAACTCGGTCCACATCGTCCGGAACTGCGTCTCGGTGCAATGGGCGGGCTGGATGTAGTCCATGATGTCGGCATGGATGTCATTCAGGATAACAACATGCGACTCCGTCGAGCTCGCGCCATCATATACAATGTTGCCGAAAATCACACCCGTATCCGTCGACGACACCTTGACTGTAGCCTGCACGTTCAAGAAGTCGCGGGGTCCGAGGTTGTGCGTGGTGGGCCGCTCAACCACCTTAAGGTCTCCGAGAGTCGCAAACTCGACGCTGAGGTTCTGCAAGGTCTCGAGAGTCTGGTTAACTAGAAGGACATCCAAAACAATATCGAATTGATGGACGGTGACATATGCCTCCGCGTAGACTGGGTCCGAGAAGCCAGTGAGTTGGACAACTCGGCTCAGCTTCGAGGACACCGTCTCCACAGTCGAGTCGCCGCCGGTGGCCTTGACCAGATCCAACTCAATCTCCTCGGCACCTTCCAGAGCTGCCTTCTTGGTGAACTGCCGAATTGGAATAGCATCGTCAACCTGAACGGCAGTCTTCGCCTTCTCAACGGCCTCCTTAGCGGCCCGCTTCTTGTCTTCGACTTGGACCATGGCGCGGAAGGCTGTCCGGGTGTCCTCCAGGAAGGTCGTCTCCAGCTCCTTCCGCTGGGAGAACTCCGCAAGCGACCGCACGCAGCACATAACGCGGTCTACGGAATCTTCATCGATGGGAGCCTTGACGAAGTGCGACTGGCCGACACGGATGATCGAAATCATGATCAGCATAGCCTCCGCACGCAGGGCGTTGGTCCGAGCAACATCCTCGGAAACCTCCGAATGACGCATCACCAACTTCGTAAGGGTAGACGAAAGCACGGTAGCAAGGTAGTAGTCGCCATCCAAGATCAGTTGACGGAGAGGTGGCTTCTGGGCGGCCTTGACAGCTTCGAGCCGGGCAGCAGCGGCAGACTGGCTGGTCAGAGCGCTTTCCGTGGCATAGGTGCCGTCAGCCAGCACCTTTCGTGATCCGGTCGGGGCCGAGGGTTTGGAGTGACCGTTGACCTGCTCCTTAAGCGCCGCATCTTCAGGTACTTCATCGAGAAGCCGCTGTTCCGAGGCAAGGATGGGGATCTCTCCGAGGCTTGCTCTGATTCGTTTCCAGGCCTCGCGAATGTCCCTCTCCTCCAAAGAGTATTCTCCGACAACCCACAGGACACCCCGGTAGACTTTACCAGCACGGACTTCGCTCAAAGTAGAAACTAGGCGATCGACAATAGAGGTTCTGAGCGCAGGGAACTTCTCCACGACCTCCTTGACAAACGAAATTACGTCAACAGCCGAGTTGTTGTTGAAATCGGCGATGAAGTCCATCAGGAGATCGACAACGCTAGCGGCAATCTCTGAGAACTTGATGGCGCAGTTATGTATCGACTGGATCAACAATTGACGGTATTCACTGTTCTGAGTGGTTGTCAGCTTTCTGTGCCACGGGCCGATCGGCAAATTTACCTTCTCATATTGTTCATCAACGGTCTTGGCCAGTTCCTTCTTGAGTAGCATGACAATCTCCTCCACATTCTTGCTCGAGACCATTTCCAAGGCAATACCGAGGGCTTTGCGGCGAACATCGATGTCCGGGCTAGAGAGGACACGCAGAATCTCCATGGTGAGGTCATCGAGGACACCCTCGTTGCGGATCCGTAGCTGATCGACTCTGTCAAGAACAATAAGCTTGACATTGTTGTCGGCTTCTTTGATGCAAAGCTCAATCAACTTGCTCGCCGCAGCCTTCACGGCCACGGGATTGCTGGTGAGCGCCGTGAGAGATGTCGCAGCTTCGTAGATGACAGTGCTCGTTGACGCATCAAGAAGGTCGAAGATCAAGCGCAGATACCGTGCCTACTGGTCATTAGCAGACGGCCGACCGGGGTTGGTCTCCGGAAACACACCTTGTTCTGGGCGTTTTGCACAGCATCCTTTCTGATGAACTCGAGCTCGGCCAGCTGGAGCAGTTCGTCCGTGTTCGGAATGCTGTCAAATGTAGAGGACAGGTATTCGAGGGACTTTTGGTGACTGATGGACATGAGGGCCGCGAATGCATTGCGCTTGCAGGTGCCATCGGTCTCCGTGTCGAGGAAGGCCTGGATAAGCTCCGGAGCATCTGGGATAAGCGACTCCGAGTGCTGGAAGATGGAAGCGACAGCCCACACGGCATTCTTCCTAACATATGCGTGGCGGTGGTCCAAGCAGGAGCGGGCGGACGAGAGGAGGGGCTCGATGAGTTCCGGTTCTCGGAGCTTGCACAAGAATCGCAGGGTGTTTCCTCGAATGTACTCGTTGGCATGCTGGAGGTCGTTACGGATACCGTTACTGCGCAAGAGGTCGCCTGTTAGAGCAAACGGACTACAGGGTCGGGGTGCGCCGTATTCCTTACCAGACCAGGATCATCTCTTGCTTGAGCTTGCCATTCGCGTCGAGTTTCGGGCAGATCTCATAGTAGAAGTATAGGAGTTTCTTGAGCGGCTTGCTTCTGGACGGCATAACAAAGCGAATGATGTGCATGAGCAGTTGGGGCATCGGGTCGCCATTGAGCATAATCGTGATGATCCGCCTCATTGTCTCCATCTTGGTCTCATCGGTACCCTTTTCCAACTGCAATTTCAGCTCCTGCAGAGAGGGCTGATCAGCAGTATTGTCCTGGTGGACCAAGCTGTATGCATTTTCGAGAAAGGACGCCATGGTGATCGAGCGGTGCGAACGAATGGCCGGGATAGGGAAGGGTTCAGGAGGGAGGAGAGCTGGACCAAGTGGTCAGTACAGGTGGTTGGTTGGGCCGGTCAGGGGAAGGATAGGGAGGACGGACTGGAACGACTCTCCCCAGGATGTTTCGAAGTAAGTAGAGGGTAAAGGACTAGTGCAATTCGACTCCCCTCACCTGCCTAGCATTCATCAGAGCGAATGTTGACAATCCGGGGGACATTGAGTATCAACCTGGCCATTTGCGCGGCGGAGCAAGCTGTCCGGAGTGTGTGGATGACTAAGCCCCGCCTGGACCAACCCTGCAAACCAGGCAATTCCATCCAGGCACGCGCTACGATCGTTCAGTCCTCGCATTCATTTCCTGTCCTGTTCGGTCCCAGACATTACGGGTGAGATCTCTCTCAAGATGTCGACCCAAGGCGAGCCGTTTTATCTCCGCTACTAGTAAGAACGACCTGTGTGTAGCCCAGGTTTCCTCAGCTGCTGACAGTCCCGCAGCTCAGGTCACTCTGGGCGGTTCGGACATGAGTTTCTAGGTTGGTCCCCAGCGGTGGTTCTATGTCTTGGGCCTGCTATTAACGGCCCCTAGAATTCGACTTCCGTACCCTTGGCGATGGCCGCAGCGCTGCCGTGCGCTATGCGAACAACTCCAACTACCGCAATGACTCCCTCATCCGCAAAGAAAGTGAGTGCTGTGGAAGGACCGCCTAATTCTACATTGTCGCTGATCGGCAATACTACAGTGTGCGTGAGCGCGTCGATGATCCAGGAGGTGAAGCGCATTATCAAGGAGAGCGAGATCATGAAGTGAGTCCTCCGCTGGGTTCCCAAAGGCGCTTTGAGGGGCGGTCGTGCTGATACGGAGCAGGGAGGATGACTCCAAATGGCCTCAGAAGAACAAGGATGGGCGTCAGGAACTCGAGATTCGGCTTGGGAACGAGCATATCTCCTTTGAGGTGCGTCCATTGCTCCACTGACATCGCTGGCGACGCGCAGGTCCTGACACATGGCAAAGACTGCGAAAATCGGCTCATTGGTAGATGTGACTGAGTCTGCGGACCCGGAAGGCCTGCGAGTCTTCTACTATCTTGTCCAGGACCTGAAGGCTCTTATCTTCTCGCTTATTGCGCTCCATTTCAAGGTAAATCCGACTCGCCTGTCGCTTTGCGAGTTCCGCGTCTAATTTGACTTCAGATCAAACCTATCTAAATCATGATTGCGGTAATGAGATGAAACGGTTCAGTTCTGGGATGGATAACAGGCGTTCTCTATTGGATTGCAGCCGCGGCAGATATACTACTTTTGTTTTTTCTCCCTTTCCCCGTTAAATTCCCTAGTAGTTGGAATGCTGAGACGCCAGATGGCAAGCGACTAGCAAAAGGCGATGACGCAATGGGTGCTCGCCACCACCAAGGCCAACGTAGCGAGGAATAGAACACCCAACGACGTGTATGAGTGTGTGGAGTGTGAAGTAAAAGCAATGACAATCAAAAACAGGGCGAGGCCAGCCCGATGAAAACGGAAATAAAAATAGAGCCTGCAGGCCCCGTGGAGAAAAAGTACTGTAGCGGGCCACGTCCGTGGTCGGGAGACAAGAGTCGGACTGCAAGGGAGGACGTGCCAGTCAGTGCAAAGCCTGCAAAACCTGCAATGCTCGAATAACCGCCCGAGGCGCCGTTTGCCCCATTTGCCTCCCCCGCGTTCGCATGATCAGTCGGCCGATTCCTCTTTGGGCAGTGCCTCGCCCGCCCCGGACGAACAGTTCGCTGCACCTCCTCCGAGCCCTTCTCAGCTCCCTCCATCTTCCGCTGCTTTTTTCCAACCTTCTTTCCTCTCTCTGCTCGTCTATCTCCTATCAACTGTTTGCTCTGACCTTTGCCCGCATCCATTCCATCCCTCCCCGATCCGCTGTTCCGTCCCTGTTTCATCTGAGCCCCTCCGCCCTGTCCTCCTTCCCACCACTCCTTTCCCCTGAGCCACCCCTGTTGCGGTTGTATCAGGTTTGCCTTTCCCGCCTGACTATTTACTCCCTCCTCGTCTTATCGGTGGGAACTGCAACTTAATCGGATCCGATGTCATTCCTTCCTTAATCCGCCTCCAATGCCGACCCCGAGTGACAACACACCACTCTTGACTGCTTCCTCGATCGTTGAAGAAATCTCCGCTCGCTCCACCTGCCCCCCAGAGGTTGAGAGATTATCTTCCTTGAGAGACTCGCGTGAATCGTCAACTACAATTGCGGAGAGTGATGCTCCCGATAGCACCTTTTCGCCAACCGTCGCATCCACCCAGACCGCCTTGACACCATCCGACGATGCGATCGCTTCTTCCAATGCAGACCCCGTGAGGGGCGAGCCAGTACCCAGTCTCCCCTTGAAAGGCGTGGTAAGACCTGAAGAGGAACCCGCTACGAGGAGACTGAGTCCTGCTGCGGAGTCGTCATGCTCTGTTGCCCCGTCGTCCGCAGTCCCCTCCCCATCCGCCACTTCCCTGTTGAGTTATGAATTCTCCAACATTCGGGTATGTGAGGTCTAGTATATCCTCTCACCGGATTTCTCCTGCTAATGGCGATAGCTTCGTCCTAATTACACTTCTTCTTTTCTGCGCCCCGGAAGCACATTTACTGGCACACAGCAATCGGACAGTCACGTATATAGTGTTGATGTGGAGATCAAGCATGTTGATATGCTCGAGTCCTATCTCTGTGGATATCTCCGCATACAGGGTTCGTGAACGCCCCCACTCATCCCGCCGAGGCCCATTCTAATTGTCCTACCTGCAGGTCTCACCGAGGATCACCCAACGCTAACCACGTATTTCGAGGGGGAAATCATCGGAAACAAGCACGGCTTCATAACAAGAAATGAAGCCTGGGGTGCGACAGAAAAAAGCGATATGCAACATTGGGCGAGGTTTCCCCCTTGGCGATCGGTTGTGAAGCAAACAAAGAGGCAGGATTTTCCGCTGTGGAACTATGCTCAGCGTGAGCACATCTTCATGCGGTGGAAGGAGTACTTCCTCGTCCCTGATCATCGTGTGAGATCAATTTCCGGTGCTAGTTTTGAGGGCTTCTATTATATCTGCTTTAATCAAGTGGAAGGAACGGTAGCTGGGATTTACTTTCACGCAAAAAGCGAGAAGTACGTAACCTTGTCTGATTTCGGGGAGTTTTTGATGGTTGAGGCTGACCTCCTTTATCTCTAGGTTCCAACAACTTGAGCTCAGGCATGTGCAAGATCATGGTCGCGCGCCTGCCATGGAGTTCCGTTGATCTTTGTGCGATCTTCCCCGGCGGTTGATCCCAGCAGAAGTCTTCCTACCGCCGCTTCCAGCTATTTTCGCATGCTTCTACTCCTTTCTAATGGCTATGACATGGTTATGTTCACTTCTCGCCTCCCTGGCCGCGATGGCTCCTCCGTTACTCTGTACGGTGTTTTCATTTTACGGAACCGCCCGTATCTACATGTCCGGATTACCGACTATTACCCCGCTCTGTTGTTTCATGTCGCGGTGACGATTTCCTTTTCCCCCTTTCAAATTGGCGCAGGCTTGGTTGACATGATATGGATTCCGACACTTCTCTTGCTTCTACCATGACATTTGCCCATTTTCTGCGGTTGGGCTCATTCATCGATACAGGCAGCGGTATCGGGACGAGCCCGGGCTCGTCTAATCTGGATTTCTGCTCTTGTTTGATCTAGTCCCTTTCCTTTTTTTCTTTTTCTTTTCCTGTCTTTCATGATCATGATCGGTCTATCTGGTAGCGGTAGCGTTTCCCCTTCTATGTCCTGGGGGTATAGGGTTACAGGGAATTCCTGAACGAGGAAGTACTTATATATTTATTCAATCACTTCGTTCTGCCACAAATTCTGCATTTCGTACTTGACGATTTCTGGATAAGTATTTGCATTGTCTGCTAATTTGCGACTCATATCAGAGAAGAACGGAAATACTGCGCTTTTGATGGTATGAATATATACAATCCAGCTGAGCGTCTGACTCTAGTGACTGCGTTTTAAGTTACAGAAATTCTGGTATAGCGAGTTTAGAGAGATGTATAGTTATATTTGATGTATGTATGCTCTTTCATTTTCTTGAGCATCGTTACAATCATTGGTTAGTAGAAGAAAGACCATCCTGGACGGCAACAATGTAATAGAGCTATCAATGTCAATGGTAGAACAATGAGTCAAGGAGCAAGTAAATGTGGTTTGAAGAGTACAGCTGGGATAAATGTAAATATGATGGAAAAGATAATGAATGTATAAGGAGGGGGTATCAAATGCAATCTTCTCGTGTATGAATGGCTGATCGCAAGCAGAGCAATATCTGGACAAGGCAAGAACGGGGAAAGATCATGAAGCTTTTCGAATGAGAAATGAATAAAGGAAGAGGTGATATCGTGATATATCAAGATCCGGAAGATTCAGGTTCATAGATACGTCGAATTTTGACGACTGCCCGAAGTAGAGCTACCACTGTTGTCGCTGCCGGGGGTTGCGGGTTCAAGCACGACCTGTTGGCGGATTGAGACAATCCATTCGTGTTGGAGGAGTTCGGCCGCAGTGGATCTCTTCAATGGGTCGCATTCGAAGCACCGACGGAGGAAGTCGATGCCCAGATCGCTGAGCTGATCGCGTGGTGGCAATTGGGGCTGGTTTCCTTGAGCGATATTGTACATGATGGCCCATTCGTTATCCAGGGTGGACCAAGGGCGACGGCCGGTGGCCATCTCCAGGATCACGCAGCCTAGTGACCAGATGTCCACTGCTCCCTGGCGGTGAATAAGCTTGGTGGTGTCTCCGCGGATCACCTCTGGAGACATATACATTGGGGTGCCGGTCATGGTTTTCTGATTCTTGCCCCAGTTGTTGTGAGCCAGCTGGGAGTCCTTAGGAATAAGACCATCCTTATGACCAGGACCACCGAAGGCATCCATGGGGACAACAGTTCTACCTTGTCGGGCAATGATCTTGGCAGCCCCGAAGTCAACGTATTTGATGATACCGTTATGATCAAGCAGGATATTCTCGGGCTTGATATCGCGATGGATAATGCCAGCTTGATGCAGGTACGCCAGCCCCTCCAGCAATTGAAGAGCGTAGACCATGATGACTGTTTCGTCCTCAACGCGCCCATGCTCCAACAGGCTGGCGAGGGATCCACCGGAGCAGTATTCCATGAAGATATAGACCTTGTCGCGGTGCACTTCGATTCCATGGTAAGAGACGATGTTGGGGTGGTCCAATACTTCCAAGACACCCATCTCATCGCGGATTTGCTGAGCAATCTTGGGAATGAGTTGGGGATCCTGCAAACGGATCTCCTTGACAGCCATGAGATAGTTACTGTCAAGGTTAATCGCAGCGTATACGGATCCAAATGTTCCGCCGCCAATGAACTGACCCTGTTGCCACCGTAGGGTGAAATTCGTAGCGGAGGATGAAAGGACCGTAAGAGATCTGTCCGCTTCATTGGAGCCCTCTAAGACTCGTCCCAATGCCCGGCGCTTCGCATCTTCGTCTACGCGTCTTTCCTCAATTTCGATGAGGTGAGCCAGACGCTGCTCTCGAACCAGCTTGGTCGCCTCTTCATCGGTTAACACCCGGCCTGCTCCCATTCGTCTGGAGCCACCACGCTCCTCCAGGCGTTGCTTTTCTGCTTGAGCTGCACGAGACGACCGGGCACCCATAATGTCAAAGTGAGATATAAGAAGCGACATGCACCCGGCCACCTTTTGCCTCAGTCGGCTAAACTGTGTATCATCCATAGACAGCAGATGTCTGCTAGAGGTGATGGCCATCGCAAATTCCAAAGCCGCGACAGCCCACTTGAAAGTTTTCCGATCAGCAGCGTCACAATCATCACAAATGAACGACACCCAATCAAGGGACAACTCGACGAGTCTCGCACTGTTCATCGCCCGTCTGTTAGGATCAACGTTTGAAGAACGCTTCCCGAACTCCGTTGCGAAGGCGTAACAAGCTTGAATCAAATCATGGTTTTCCACGCCTTTCTGCTTTAGCTGATCCCTGATGATGGCAACGCTATCCATGATAGTCATTGACAGCTTGAACGAGATCTTCTTAATCTTATTGAGCTCCACGTTCACTCGGCCAAGATTAGCACGTTGTTCAATGGCCATATCGAGCTGGATTCCGGTGAGATGTGCCAGCTCATGTCTAGCATTAGACAGACGCTGCTGTGTCCCCTCAACGACGAGACGCAACTTGCCCAGTCGCAAGTCCGTGGGCTGCTCCATGATACCCAGCTGCATCTCCTTGCCGGCCCAAGACAGGGGCTTCTCGGGACGAACCACCAGAATATATGGTGCATGCGGTGTATCCTTGTTTGTATCATCCTCACGAAATGATGTGCCTAAGATAGCTTGAATGTCCGTAGGGCGATCCCACAATGCGGGATGCGCAAAAAGATAGACGCCTTTTTGACCGACCGAGATATTCGATTTGATCATGAAATGATCCGAGATAAGTAAAGACTCCAAGAAATCGTATGCAATATCAGCTGGCAGATTATATTCGGTAGCATTTTCAAACAGCTGGCGCAGGAACCGAGAAAACCGGTAAAGCTTCCGTTGGCGAATTCGGGTTGAGTCCAAAACACTCTTGTATCGCTTGTCCATGTCGGCCGGATCCTCGTTGTGGCGGATCGTCAACTCCCGCTCGAAGTGGATCATTAGGCGTTGGATTGACTTTGCAGTCAGTGCACTGGCTCAAGTTAGCTATGTAGATCATCTTGAATGAAGGATCCACCTTCGTACCTAAACTGCTCAGCGACCTCGATATCACCACCCTCAAGTTGACGGCCAATCTCATTGGAAAACTCCCAATCCTGCTCTAGAATTTCTGCTTCTTTGAAAGTATTCTTATTTGCATTCAACTTCCAATTCAGCAGACGGAAATAATATTTCATGGCATCCAGAACAACTGCGTCGAAACCTTCGTCAATGCAAGGAGGTAGATCCCACCCTGGCTCGGGTCTGGCGATATCCAAGTAATGTTGTTTGATATCCACCGCAACCCTCATCAGAATCTGAAACTGCGATATCATTTGATCAACCAAGATGGGTGATTGTTGAGCTGGGTCTTTCATATTCTTAGCATAAGATAGTCGAACGCGTATAATCTCCTGTATGAGGCGCGACGGGAAGTTGATCAAGGTCAGAAGCTCTTCGATATAGGGAGGTAAATGCCGTTTAGCGAAGGAAATTGCGTTTTCAATCAGTGTGTTTTTGGCTTTTTGGATGACCTCCCCAATGCCATGGAGTATATTATGCTTTCCTTGAAGAGTCTTAAGACCATCTTCCTTCATGATACGATCAAGGAAAGAAGATTCATCGGAGAGATCACCGTTGATAGATTTGGTTCTTGGCTTGCTGAAATCCAGCTCATCGTTCCCAACCCATTTTTGCAGGATAGCGAGCTCGGTATTGATTAAGATCGTCGTATTGTGCCAGGCAAAGACAGCATCGCGACTCGAACAGAACTCTTCCGAAGCAACTCGAGGGTTTGCGATTTCCAGCTCTTTGTGAGTAGAGTAGAGGCTTTCGCACCTTTCGATTTGTCTGACAATATCCTCAACCTGGTTGATGGGTGGCTTCCCGATTTCTGTTTCACCTTTGATTTCGAATTTGATGATTTCTTCGATGATGGGACCAAGTCCAGACCTCGCTTCCTCGATAAGTTTTCTCTGCAGGGCAACACTCCTTCCGCACATCCTAGCCCTGACACCCAACCATATGGCATTGTTCTGAGCCGACGATCGCTTCGATTCCGCGGACCCGAGCAGTCGCTGCTTCTCCTGCTTGACCACATCTCCCTTCAATACAGAGGAAAGCATGGAATGCCATTCCAGTCTTTCTTGATTTCTTGGGTTCTTGAGTTCCTCGATCGTCGGTTGGTTGTCATCGGTGAGAAAGAGTTGGATGTCCGGGTCGTAAGCATCATCTTCAAACGGTACCTCGGAAGACGGCGACGGTTCTTCTAAATCTGAGTCTCCGACCGCCACGCCCATGTTTTGGGCCTCGTCGAAATGGCTATACCAAGCCTGTGGGTCGGCACGGATGCGCTGGACATACGCCTTCTCCTGGGCCCGGTACTGTGCATTGGGGTCGCGTCTAGAATTCCGTTTCGTCGATGAGCTCCGTTGACGGTCATTCTGGAAGCTGATGTACTGAGGTGGGCGTCGTTGGGGCGCGTAAGTGTTGGAGGGCGTCCGAGCGGGGCCGGACGGACGTTGCGGCCTCAGGTCACGTTCGGTCACTGGAAGGCCATCCATCGGCGGGGTCTTGTCGAGAGCGACTGAAGCACCGATGCTGGCTCCTCGAGGGCGTGTGGGTGTACCGGTTGCCCATGCTGGGAGACCGGAAGGAATGGATGGGGGAGGCGAGGAGGAAATGGTCGTAGCCGGGGTTTGAACTTGGCCGTCGAAATTCTCTGTAAAATTGGAGTCCAACCTCACAGCGTACGGCTGTTGCAGAAGCTCGTCCGAAGACCCGGAGCCGTCCGAATCATGGTTGTTCATATCGGGATGCTCCATGATCTGGAATCCGCGGTCCTGCTGAGATTCCATCTCGCATGTCCGAGGTTGGAAAGCGGATTGGAAGGGAAGCCTCAAGCGGAGCCTAGATAGGGGGTGTGGCGGTGCATGCTAAGTACTTATCGCTGCTGAGTCGCGACCGATCCCTGCCCGGGTGCCGTTGGATTTCCGTGCTTTGAACGCGTGAACAAAAAAAAACAGGAGGTAGGACACAATAAGAGTATCAATGTTAGACTGAAGCACGCGGCAAGTCAGTCCGGTTGGTGATGCAAATGGCGAGCCCTTCCAGAAATCGCAGTGGTATGCTCCAAAAGACGGAGCTTCAGCCGGAGGTGGCTCTACCGCGCCTATACCAGATCGGGAGGCGGCGATCTGGGTGACTAAGCGTCCATGCATCTATGTTATGCCTGAGGCAGAATATAGGCAGGTCGTAGCTCAGACTTCATGGAAAAAGTGGATATTTCTGGATTTGATCGCCTACCCCATTCCATAGAATGAAATCTAGCTTACTATACTTACTGGAGTCACGCGGTGGCGACAAGCGTTGAATGACATGAACTCCTTGCTCACTGCAGGGGCTCCTACGGAGTACTTATAGCAGTAGTAGCAAATTGACAGATCACACAGCTGGAACCTCAAAGTTGTGGGAGTATGCCACAACCCGGGAATGATCCCGGAAGCATTGCCGTCCCTCATTCTCTCCTCTCCATCTCTATGCCCGTTTCTTCAGGCTTCCCAATCAGGGGTATCTGTATTTGGTAGGTCATCATTCGACTGCCTCAAACTACATGGAAGCTGTGTTCTGCGCCGTGAGTTGTATACGTAAGGCCCCCCAAAAGGGCATGCAAAAAAGCAAAAAGCTACCATCGATAAGTTTTTTCAAATTGACCAAGACAGGCGCCCCAGAACTTGATCTGAAACCCTAGATCGGACGGAGACTTGCGGGACTTATATGCATTTTCCTTTTCGGGATACATAATATGTCCGTCCAACGCTGAACACCACGTCCAATACCAGGGTAACCGCGGGAGAAGATCACTTGATGTCCTGAAGATCGCCTTGAGACGTGAATAGTAGCTGTCGCATGCATTTGATCACCATGGATTGTTGATCAGTGGAACCGAATGTCCTGACTTGGCGCTGCGGGTCTCTAGGAGATCCCTTTTGGAATTTCTGGGGAAGCTTAAGTAGGGAATGGAGCAGAGTGGGCAGTTTATCTTCCTGGCGCATTGTTAGCCTTATTATGACATCATGATAGGGAAAATTAATATCAAGTGCGACGGCAATGTTCTTTCCTACTACTCCAGTGTAGTGAGCAGAAAGTTGCGGAAGGGAGAATAAAGATCACATACGGAATGCCGGGCGTGTAGTCACGATTAGTGGTCCGTAGGTCCTCCGAAAGCTTGGTAGTATCTATATCACTGCACAAGATACCGTTGACAGTTGTACGCAATACTTTCATCCATCAAGGTCATAATGTGAATAATCGTAGCAAGCGTCGATGGAAAGATATGATTATCTGGTCCATCTCCACTGTACAAAGGATTGCTGCGATGCTCGAGCAGGAATCTTGTCTTACTCATCGTGAGAGTTGGAAGAGACGACAGGTGCCAAGTCCGCTAGTCCGAGCCAGTCGGGATGCCGACATGTCCTGGCCAATGGGGGTGGGTGAGCTTATCTCTACCTCCAGCAGCCCGGAGTGGTACGTAGTTCTTTCCGGCAGCTTACAGTTGCAACTTACAACAGACCATCCCTTATGATGATTATCATGATGATGGGTCGGGGGATGTTGGGTACGGTTGCTTTTCGTGCACACTGCTTATGGCGCAGTAGAGGTGTTAAGTGGCCCAACTACTAAGTGACCAGCCCTACGACCCGTGCTGGAAATACGACCGCTCAGCTGGAGCTGGACCTGGCTGGATATGGTTCTTTATACCTTGAACCAGGAGTTACTTTGGCCGTCGACCGACCGCAACTCTCTGTTATCCTGCGGCATCGATTGTGGTTCTCGCCAGCTCAGATGGGCTCTCGAATCCGAGCTGGTATTACCTGTACAGTGCAGCGTGCCATCGGGTAGGACAACGCAGGCACAGCTTGACTAGGATGATGGGACGGAGCTCTTGGCTTCATCAAAGTCTTTATGATAGCCTACCAGCCTAGCAATGCACAGTAATCATCAGGTAACAAGAACCTACGGGGGTTCCGGGGGAATCAGGAGGCCTGATAAGCCGCTTGGCCCACTGCTGATTGGTGGCCGGGCTTTAGATAAGGAGGCACTGCGAGACCGGCTGAAGGAATTATTCACGATGTCACGACACGCCCTTTCCCCCGGAAACTGAAGGAATGATGGCATTCCCTGACTACCTCGTGGTGGTCACTGGCCGGGGTAGCTGGGCTAGCAATGGAACTTCGAGAATCATGGATGTTTGCCCGATGGGTCGCAGCCACGAACTCAAAACGCGAAGGTCGTGGACTGATAAGGAACGGCCGTGAAGGCTGAGCATTGATAAAGTGTCGCCCGCGAGCAAACCAAGGACTAAAGCAATGCTCGCTTCGGGGACGCTGATTGGATGGCGGGATGCTATCTCCCGCCAGTTGAAGGTCCTTCCCATTAGACTTTCAATCTATCCTTGCATGAATCCGTCGCCGCGGGCTCTTATCCAGCGCAGGCACCATTCCATTATTTACGCCGATCTGTCACTGAAATTTCCCATCTCAGCGTCTCTATCGAGGCCTCATGTCTGGTCAGGCTGTCAGCAGTCCCTCTCTCTATTAACCGTTGCGTGGTGGTGTCGGTGTCAGTGTCAGTGCCAACCGTCTTGGCTGCCCCCGATGCATGGCAGTTAGGCTGCCATGCACCAGGTTGGTGTCACCCATCAGGAGAGGCACGTCCACGTTCTCGTGGGAGAACCTGGGGTATGTAAGTAAGGATGTGTCTAAAGGTAACTCTACGAGCTGCAGGCCAAAGGGGCTGCGACGCACTGGCCCACCTAATCCTTCCTCCGGCCTCCACGCTCTTATCCGCCGCCATGGCTTACTGCTGATATCTATCAAGTAGATATCGGACAGTGGATATCTCTCGGTCGTATTAATTGCGACTAACCGTGGCCAGGGCTGCGCCTAGTGTCCGATGGTGGAGCCGGCCTTGATCGAAGCCAAGTGAGACAATGGCGTTCGCCATTCTGACTGGTATCATCGCCTGGTTCCGACTATTACCAGTACTATTTATCCCTCCTGCATCTCCTCTCCTCCCCCCTGCAGTAGCTTTTTGCTTTTTGGTTTTTCGATCGCCTTCCTTTCTCCGTCTCATAATTCCTTTTGCTCGATCAGCAGTGCCTAGAGCCCCCCGACCTGCTGCCACCATCCACTGCTCTAGCCCATTAAAGGACTCTTGCTCTACACGTCGACCACCACTCGCACCCTTCGCATCCTAAAAGGTTGCTGGTCTTGGTGTGAACGGCCTGGGAGTTCACCATCACTCAGTTTCTGGCCGGACTTTGGCAGAAGGCTTCGTGCGGTGGTGTGATTCACAATGGCAGAATACCCTGTCGCCTACAATGGCACCGGGGCAACCGGTGGTAACTCTCTGACGGAAGATCTGAATATTTACTACAGTGTATGATTCTCTTGATCGGTGATAGATGTTGTACCTGAACCAAGCCCCACTAACTGATCCCAGTCTGGAGATATCGCTTGGGTTATCACCTCTACTGCTCTGGTGTTGCTGATGATTCCTGGTGTCGGGTAGGCTACCACAGGTCAACCTCAGTGCTTAACAGGGCTTCTAGCTAACAGCAACAGCTTCTTCTACTCAGGACTTGCCCGTCGGAAATCCGCATTATCGCTAATATGGCTTTCAATCATGTCGGTTGGGGTGGTGTCCTTTCAGTGGTTCTTCTGGGGATACTCGCTGGCCTTCTCTCACACGGCTGGAAAGTATATTGGTGACTTGAACAACTTTGGAATGAAGGGTGTTTTGGCAGCACCATCGGTCGGCAGCTCCAAGGTCCCCGATATCCTCTTCGCTGTCTTCCAGGGAATGTTCGCGGCCATTACGTGAGCGAACCCGATCCAAAGCATTCATAGATCTGTCCGCTGATAATGGAGATAGTGTTGCCCTTGCAGTGGGTGCAGTTGCCGAGCGTGGTCGCATGCTGCCTTGCATGGTCTTTAGCTTTGTCTGGACCACCATCATCTACGATCCGCTTGCTTGTTGGACCTGGAACTCGTCGGGTTGGGTTTACCTGTTGGGAGGTCTCGACTTCGCTGGTGGTACCCCCGTTCACATCGCCTCCGGCTCCGCCGCATTGGCATACTCTCTCATGCTCGGAAAGCGTCGCGGACATGGCACCCATGAGCTCAATTATCGCCCTCACAACGTCACGCATGTGGTTATTGGTACTGTCTTCCTCTGGGTTGGATGGTTCGGATTCAATGCCGGCTCCGCCTTGGCTGCCAACCTGCGTGCTGTGATGGCGGCGGTTGTCACGAACTTGGCCGCGTCGGTGGGTGGTGTCACCTGGTGCATCATGGACTACAGACTGGAGAGAAAGTGGTCGACTGTCGGTTTCTGCTCTGGTGTGATTGCAGGTCTTGTTGCCATTACCCCGGGCTCAGGTTTTGTGACTCCATGGGCTGCCTTCATCTTCGGAGTCGTCGGTGCTGCTGCTTGCAACTACGCGACGAAGCTCAAGTACGTGCTTCGTGTCGACGACGCCCTGGATATCTTCGCTGTGCACGCCATTGGAGGTCTTGTGGGCAACCTCTTGACTGGACTTTTTGCTGCGTAAGACACCCCTATGCCCCAGTCCAAACTATACGAACTAACATCTCCCCTTTTTAGTGATTATATCGCCCACCTCGATGGTTCCACGACTATTGCCGGAGGTTGGATCAACCACCACTACATCCAGCTCGGCTACCAGCTGGCCGACTCCATTTCCGGCATGGCCTATTCATTCTTTGGCAGCTGCATCATCCTCTTCGTTATCAACCTGATCCCTGGTCTGCACCTGCGCATTCCCGAGGAGGAGGAAATTCTTGGTGTTGATGATGCCGAGATTGGCGAATTTGCCGTAAGTGCTTCTATAACCCTCATATAGAAGAACGTCCATCTAATCAGAAACAGTACGACTACGTCGAAATCACCCGCGACGTCATTGGCGGCACCACCCCCGAGGGTGGCGAGGAGTCTTCCAAGCGCACCATGACTCCTCCCAACGGCAACGAAGAGTCCGTAGAGACCAAGGCTTAATTATGAGTGGAAACTAGGAGTGACCGTCATTCATTCCTCCCACTACTCATTATATCCCATCACCAAAGCCACGACATCAACTACTTAATTCGTTTTCGATTCATTGATACCTATTTCATTTATTGTTACCAAATTTCGATGCCCTTATTATTTGTACATACTTTCCCTTCGTCTATCCCCATCTACTTATATATTCATTTCACATATATTCATCCTTATTCACTGTGGTTTGAACTTCTCATAAAAAGGTATGATTTTACACGGGTTCAAAGTTACATTACTACAGCCAATATCACTCTCCCTCCCCCCTTTCCTTCCCTCACTTGATTCCTCTCCTCTCAAACAACCCCCCCGGCGCACATACATTCGCATATACACACCATGTACTAATCCCATGATGCTCGACATCTTCTAAAATCTAGATACCCAACCTGTCTACTAATTTAACTTACAATGACCCCCCAAACAAGCCAACTAAGAACCAATAATACATACATACATCTATCATACACAAAGAAACAAAAAACCCCCGCAACCAACAACACATTCACACACCCAAACCTCTCCTATCATCAAATGATCTACTAAGTTACCTTTCCTCGCATGTAATGCCCAGAACCAAACTTCGTTGAGGCTTTCGTCCCGCACCATCCCCAGATTGAGCCATTTAGTCGAGTCAGCCATCTAGAATTCGTCAGAGAAAAGCTGGGTTCGTCCTTGGAGAGGTGAGACACCTCGTAGGGAATGGCTATTACGGGACGGAACCAGATGAGTTCCCAGCAGTAGTGGAATTGGTAAAACTATAGGTTGGACTATGTGTACGTTAGGTCATTGGTTCGGTTGCCATATAGCAGATCTCAGATACCTTTAATATGCTACTACGCGTCCGGCCTCTATAAGCTAGATTTGCCTTGTGACTGCTTACCTCGAATGGGCTTGGCTATTGGGCTTAGGATTACTCAGGATTCGACAGGAGCGATTGTACCCGTAAACTGCTTTTAAAACTATGTGCTATTGGGTTTAAAAGGTCCAGGCTGTGACAAGCCTAAGTAATTAAAAACAGGAAGGGAAATTAAGAGCGCTCAAACAAAATAATTCACTGACCCAGACCAGAAGGTCTAGGTCGAAGAGAATGTAGGCTTATCGGGGTATTACAGAGCTGGTCTCAATTCGCGTAACTGTCGACTTGAGACATTTACTCCTCAGGCTCAAGAACCTCCTCCTCACCGCTGCAAAGGGTCAGCAAGGAAACATGACTAACAGGAGGTGGGTGACACTTACTATTCCTCCTCACCCTCGGAGATCGAGGCGTCCTGGTACTGCTGGTACTCAGAGACAAGGTCGTTCATGTTGCTCTCAGCCTCAGTGAACTCCATCTCGTCCATACCCTCACCAGTGTACCAGTGCAAGAAAGCCTTACGACGGAACATAGCAGTGAACTGATCACCGACACGCTTGAAGAGCTCCTGGATGGAGGTGGAGTTACCGATGAAGGTGGAGGACATCTTGAGACCACGGGGAGGAATGGAGCACAGGGCGGTCTGGATGTTGTTGGGGATCCACTCGACGAAGTAGGTCTGGTTCTTGGACTGGATGTTGCGCATCTGGTCCTCAACCTCCTTCATAGAGACACGTCCACGGCTAAATACGTGTTAGTGGGCGCACATAGTATAAACGCGATATAGGGAAACTCACAAGATGGCGGAGCAGGTGAGGTAGCGGCCGTTGCGGAAGTCAGAGGCGGCCATCATGTTCTTGGGGTCGAACATCTGCTGGGTCAACTCGGGGACGGAGACGGCACGGAAGGAGTAGGCGCCACGGCTGGTCAGAGGAGCGAAGCCGACCATGAAGAAGTGGAGACGAGGGAAGGGAACCATGTTGACAGCCAGCTTGCGGAGGTCGGAGTTGAGCTGACCAGGGAAACGGAGGCAAGTGGTCACACCGGACATGACGGCGGAGACCAGGTGGTTCAGGTCACCGTAAGAGGGGTTGGACAGCTTGAGGGTGCGCATGCAGATGTCGTACAGAGCCTGTATTGTTCAATTCGTTAGTTCTCGAGCGCAATCCCCTACAAGACCGGCTCCCGAAACATACCTCGTTGTCGATACAGAAGGTCTCGTCGGAGTGCTCAACGAGCTGGTGGACGGAGAGGGTGGCGTTGTAAGGCTCAACAACGGTGTCGGAGACCTTGGGGGAGGGAACGACGGAGAAGGTGGCCATCATACGGTCGGGGAACTCCTCACGGATCTTGGAGATCAGGAGAGTACCCATACCGGCACCGGTACCACCACCGAGGGAGTGGGTGATCTGGAAACCCTGGAGGCAGTCGCAAGCCTCGGCCTCACGGCGGACGACATCGACAACCTGGTCGACCAACTCGGCACCCTCAGTGTAGTGACCCTTGGCCCAGTTGTTACCAGCACCGGACTGGCCGAAGACGAAGTTGTCGGGGCGGAAAAGCTGGCCGAAAGGACCGGCACGGACGGCGTCCATGGTACCGGGCTCAAGGTCGACAAGGACAGCACGGGGAACATACTTGTTGCCGCTAGCCTGGTGAAGGGGTCAGAAATTGGGACACCACATGTACACGTGGTACACCCAGGGGCTGGTTGATACCCACCTCGTTGAAGTAGACGTTCATGCGCTCCAGCTGGAGATCGGAGGTACCATTGTAACTATCCTCCATGTCAGGAGACCTGACTCGTTCCTCATGTGGATCGATTGAGAGCTGTGAAGAGGGTGTACTTACACACCAGCGCCATCGAGGCCGTGCTCACCAGAGATGGTCTGCCTGTTGATTTGTTAGATTAATCCTTGAGTGAGAGTATCAATGGGTATCTAGCCTCATGCTTGGAAAGCCTGAGAGATCCCATCCCAAGTCCAGTGACGGTGAGACATACCAGAAAGCAGCACCAATTTGGTTACCCTATTCGCCATCGTTGTTTAGCCGCTGGACACCAAGCATGACACTTGGACAACAATCCCAAGACATGGTCGCACTTACACACTGGCCGGTTTGGAGGTGAACCTATGAAGTCAAGCAGACATGCAGTTAGCAAAATTGAGTTGGTCAGAGAACCGGTGGGGTCCCATCAGGAGAGATGCCAGCCAACGAAGACGCGTCTCCTGAGGGGACCAGGGGAGCGGGAACAACATACAATCTCACGCATTGTGGCGGGGATAGAGATAGGGTTGACGGGGAAAAAAAGGTGAGTGAGAGGAAGCCGGGGGGGGGGATGGATCGAAGTTGTTGGGAGGAGACTGGGGAAGACAGTCGACTGGAGTAGGAGAAGGGGGGAGCGAGGAGGGAGGAGAAAACGAGGACTGGGAGGAAGTTAGTTTGGCCGAGTGGAGAGTTGGGTAGAAGGAGAGCGGTGAAGCGGGAGGCCAACAACGCCAACGTTGTGCGGGCGCCGTCGGGATCAACAACAAAGCCAACAAACACGGGCTTTTGGGCAGGTAAATAGGGGCTCCGCCCAATCCGGTTTGGCGCCGTCACGGGATGTTCCCTACGAGCCACTGACAAACCCGCCGGTCCCTCCAGTCCTCCCTGTGGGTTGGTTGGGTTACCTTCTTGTCCGCACGCGAACCAGACTTGCAGGTGGCCTGACGACAACTGCTTCCGGTACCTACATAAACAATGGAAGGCATCGGGATTAGGATGAGGAGCGTCGAATCCATGTAACACCCGTCCGCTATAATACATAAGACATATCTACATCCACGGGATCCTCCGAAATGATCAACCAACCTCAGATATTACGCTTATCCAGCAGATCCGCCAATGGTTACAGCAACCAACCCTCTCACTTGGCCGTATTCTCGACCGTGTGAGAGCTTTCCAACCACGTGCCAAACTCATCCAACCGCTGCTCCTCTTCTTCGTCGGAAGCATCCAGTCCTCTCTCGGCCAGATCTTCCAGCGCCGCGCGCTTCTCATTGGTCTTCTTAAATCTCTCACTGCCATCCGCAATATATGCATCGACACGGGTGCCAGCGAAGAACCGCCCATCCATCATCTAGACAGCCACACTTTAGTACGGAACTATTCCTCCAAACCAACGTTCGGCCGTGGTTCAGCTTACCTTGACACACTTCCTGGCCGGCTCGGGGTCAGAAAAGCGAACGCTCACCACTCCCTCGGGTTCCTTATCGTATAGGACCACATTGGTCACCTCTCCCAGCTTGGAGCACTCGTCACGAATATCTTCCTTGATATCGAGAATAGCCGCGGGATCCTCCTGCATGATACGTCAGCTTCCCTGACAGCTAGTCGTAGATCAGAAAGTGCCCACCTCCAATTCCTTCAACGTGAACATATGTTTCAAGATGACAACCTTGTCAAAACGGGAAGTCGTCTCCGCCATAGCCGACGGATCATCATCATCCCAGTCAGCGAGTTTGCTACCAATGCCCATTAGCGAAGCCCAACGCCCCAACCGAGTAGATTTCCCCATACCTGTTCAGCTTCTGAGTCCGCCGCATAATCTTCTTCTTGTCCCTCATGCTGGTCTTGGTCGGTGCCTCTTGCTGGCTCTTGAACGAAAAGTCCGCATGCTGCACACGCATGGGCCCTTGCGGTCCTGTTACTCCAAGCCTGAAGTCCGAATCATCCAGCATCTGTATCGCGAGATTGACGGATTCGGGTCGGAAATACACGACGAGAGCTTCGCCCTTGAACTTGCCGTTGTCATCGGTGTACATCTTGATGCGCGGCTTGCCGCTGTCAATTTCCTCAGCGATCACGCCGCATTTCGAAAAGACATCCCGAATTTCTTCAAAGTCCGCATTCAGAGGAATCGATGTCACGAAGATGGCCGTATTGACGCGCTGTTTCTTAGGCTTTTGTCCGTTGCCCTGTGCGATTCGAATCGCTTTAGTCCAATGCTGACCGTGAGGATGAAGAAACATAGGAGCTACTAGACTAACCTCATCGGCGGTTTCTTGCTTGCGCTTCTTCCTCAGCTGCGATGCCGTGACCTGTTCATCCTCATCCACACCCTGGACTCTATATGCTTCTTGCTGCTGTTGTAGCAAGTCTTCATCGACCTGGAGGCACCCCGGGCGCGCAAGCGGCGCCAACCAAGCAATCAGTGTCACGAACCAATCAATATCCCTGCGAGAATAGACATTCCTGTCTACTTGCAACAGAAGAAGGTTCATAGGTATAATGTTGCATGGTCGTAAAAGAGAAACGGGAAACGAGGGGGAAGAGAGCAGGAAATGCAGGACTTCAACAGCTGGAAAACGCAGTAGGGATCACCCAGCTGGAGAAAGAGCGCGCACACACCGTCGGAATCCATCGCTTTAACACCGTATCGTAAACGTACTCCTGCCCATCCTCTGTTTCTAGGATAAACTTGTTGTCCAATTTCGAGAAGGAGATTCGGGGGTCGCTGTCGAATTCCGCCGGATCCTGAGGGAAGCTGCCGAAGGGGGAAAAGTTGGAGGCGTCCTCGTGAGGGCCGGGCGACGCCATTATCAAGCACTATACGATGGAAGCGCGACAACAATTGGATTCAAAATAGACTATTTACCAAGATGGGAGAGGTTTGCCCGGACGAAATTAATTTCAGCTGAGCCGGATTTGCGGGGAGAGGTCGGTTTATGTAAGCGCGACGGCCATTCACGTCATGGGCGCGCTTAGTGACCAGCTGACGATCTCGCAACAAAGGCTTCGATAGGCGGGTCCAGCGCGCTTATATTGTGGAGCATGGCAGTAGCTTTCTTGTCTACACAAATGTTTCCTGTCCGTATCTGGTGTTATCTACCTATGGGCCATGATCCGGAGATTTTCGCTATGTGGATAGTGAATGCACGGCCTTCGCCTTCCATTACTCACGGTTCTATGTGGGAAAGATCCCGACTTCTCGACCAAGGCCAAGACACAAAACAGAGACACTCCAAGACAAACAGCGGCAGGCAGCCATCCTCCTGCGAGGATAAATGACTTGTCTTTCTCAAAATAGTTGACAAAATAGGCTACTGGAATCTGTGAAATGCTTGAGGCTGCAATGTTCGAGAGCTTTATCCCACCTGAATCTTGTCTGCAGCATCTCACGGCCATCCAGCCACTCAAAATTTGGACACGTCGCAGGACACCCTAACGAGATGTCTCAGACTTTGTTCAAGACAGCGCTCATCGCATAATGCTAGTTCTTGCCTCATGCGCAGCACTCAAAGAAAAGGACACTGACCCCGTCGGGTGATCTCCAACTCTCTCATGATATCCTCCATACCCCGACGGCCCTTGCCTTCGAAATACTTAGGGCCGACATCAGGGGTATAATATCCTTGCGGATAATACTTGGTACCTTCGTCTCCCGGTAAAGGTCGACCAAGCGCCCAAGTCAGCCAAGCAACTGGGCCCCAGCGGTTCCGGAAAGTAGGCTTCACATAGTAGGGTGCTGCATCCCAGTTGACCATAAAGATGCGACCATTCTCATCTACTTCCTCGGTATAGCTGGTATACCGCAGAAAGTATGGACGGGGAAGTGCCAGGTACCGCATGGCGAACCGACGAGCGGATAACAAGAACGAGAATAACATAGCTTGAAACGTTGGGGGAGCGTCAAACCTAGAATGCCAATGAGCGGTTAGTCTAGAATGTGCAGGTTTGCAATCGCTCAGTGTCACTTACAGCATGGCTTTCCGCAGACGATCGTCCATCATAAACGTAACAAAGTTCAACCCGATGTTTTGTAGAGGCTTCGGAACCATATACAGCAACATCGCAATTGTCTGGTCGGCAATCTCGCGATTCTTCACATTGGGTACCATGCAACGAGCCTCATAATCTTCGCTCCAGGTCCTGACTTCCTCCAGCCATTGGAGGCCATCGCGAAATCCTGTCTTGCCTGACGGGAGAGCATCATAACTAATGTCTAGACTATCGCCTAGGCTTTTAAAGAAGGTACCAATGGCACACTTCTCAAGGTCACTCAGGTTCCGCCACTCATACTTCTCGACGAATTCGATCGGTTGAGTAGCAAAGAGGCCAAGTGTGTACAGCATGTCATCTTCTAGAATTTTGCCGGAAGCACGATAGCTGCTGTGGATCCAGCGCGTGCGTGCAATAGAAGCACAGGCACGGCTGGAGGTTGGTGCGTGGCCTATGAATTCCTGGACTAAGGCGACGGTATCAGCGTAGCGCTTCAGGGCTGTCTCAGGGTTAGAGAACTGGGTCGTGTTTGTGAGCGTCCTGGAGATAGTCGGGATGCCATAAGTCTGGCCAATGGTACGTAAGCATATGAAAGACTACATTAAGGACTTGTTTCATACCCGGAAGAGAGCAAATTGGAGAGACTTGAGGTAGAAAAAGGGAAATTCCAGCCGAACCAGTGCTTTCTGTATCGCGCAGGCGTCATCGTCGGTCATACGAGAGAAGGACTCCCGAGTGGGATAGTGGTATTTCTGGCGCAGCCACCGTGCATGGCGAAATCGAAGCAGGGATACGAGAATCAAATATGCCGGAAGTAACAAGCAAAGATAGGTGACAATTCGCTGAGACCCCCGGGGGGCCTGAAGGTCTGGGACATACCCTAGCCCGCTCGGAGCGCGTAGGGTGCTATTCTCCATAGCTTTTTATTGGTGCTTACTCAACTCCTCTGTTTAGTTAGTAGAGGGTAAGCAGCCGGGTAACTTCTAGGCTCAGCGATGGTGGAAGAGATGGTGATGGTTTGCAACACAGCTGCATCACATGGCAAGGGGTGGCTGGTGCAATTCGACCCCTCAGTTAAATCCGCCGCATTAGTAATAGACGCGAATTAGACAAAAAAGCAATTATGCTCCGTCTGTAACCTACCAGTGAGCCCAGATCTCGAAGAACGATTTAAGTAGCTTAGTTCTAGGAGGATTGCTCGGAGAAGAGTCGGGCACTCGTAACTTTGTATAGTTTGGGTTTCGTATCTAGTTACGGTTCCAGGGTCACGGGGACCAGTCCCTTATTCCTCCCCCCGGCTGGCTTTTCTCCCCCTCACTCCCTTTACTAGTACCATGGTTCAGCAGTCCCAGGCCTGCTCAATCTTGACAGGCCTGATCCGGTCAGTTATTTTGTGCTACATGATTGCCCATCATACTCAGGGTCACATGTACCCACCCTTCACTCATCGAGCCAGACATGGTCCTGATCGTCCAATGCCAATCGAACAAAGAGAATCGGTGACCATTTCCTTGTAAGGCTCCTACTTAAGTCAGTCATACATTTGGTTGATCCGTTCGACTCATGGGAATCTGATTCATTGAACTGATATAGCAAGCACTAAACAAGAACCGAGCCATGGCACTGCACCAGATTGGGAAAACGACTGAAAGGACAACTATCTACCCGTAGTTCTATTCACACAGAGCAAGCAGACAGCCAATCCGCTTAACAACGACACGATTGAGTCATATATAGCCAGTCAGAAGAGCCAAAACCGCCGGGATTTCGTCATCCACGCTGCCTAGGATGATACTCTCCCCCAGTTGGCAAAAATACCGCTCAACGGCCAATTAATCTTAGCTCCAACAATCTGAGTGGCGGGAAAGCGATGGCTGTGAAGCACAACCCCAGCCAGATGCCTAGATCACACCCTCCCGAAACCGCCCTGGCAACTGGGCCTGTATAATAGGCCTGATCCTATTAGGAAAAGATACATGGTCAGCATCTGTTGTGTAACAAGCATATGGCGGGGCTGCGTACCATGCCAATGATGGCTCCTACCCAACCGATCAGAAAGGCTATGCTAGCTGCAACTCCCATGGGGAGTTTCAGCCAATTGTTCCAGAAGGACCAGTCGTAACCTTGGCCCCGGTTGAAGAGTACGTCTTGTTCCACCACAACGGTGAACCAGATGATGACCCAGTATCCAATGAGCGGCATGAAATTCTTGGAGATATCATACAGCGAGTTCCGCCCTCCGATGGCACATGCTGTGTAGATCAAAGTGCTGATACTTGTGAAGACAGGACGTGGAACTCTAAGCCATACATTCCCGAGCATCTGGAAGTTCAACCCCGTCGAGTAGGAGCTCGGTGCGTTGTTGGACACAATGGTCAAGACGTTGATGAAGGCGCACAGCTTCCCAAGGGGACCAAGCCGGTCATAGCCGGCCATCAGCAGACTCCCCGGCGTGCCGTCATAGAGAGAAGCCCATCGGGGGGTAATTGCGACCCCGCTGCCGAGGCCAACCCCAAGAAGAAGCGTGATGGCTATTGAAATGCTTATTCCGATCGTGGTCACGGTCCATACCTTCCATCGCTTGATCTCAGGAGAGTAGTAAACGTGGTAATCGGCAGCTACTGGGATCCACGACAAGGGAATGGATAAACACAGTGAGAAGAATGTCAGACGCTTCGCGTTGAGCTGATTGGAAGGGCCAATGGATGGGCTGTGAAAATCAAATTGCGGCCCGGCCGAGCCAGTGAGCAGGCAGAAGACTAATGTTTGGGGAAACCAGGCATATCTACCACCAGTGGTCAGCAATAAAGTTCTGATCGAAGAGCGGCAACTCATACCTCTCATAGAACTGGAAGATCTGCATTCCAAATGTAGCCATAACCCAAGTCACCAACGCGACGATGACGATGCCAACGATGACAGATACTGCCCCTCCTGATAGCTTGGAAAGCAACTGACCTCCTACTGTGGCACTCATCATGCCGGTGCCCAAGTTGGTTAACACATTCAGTATACAGCAGACCTTACTGGGATAGTATCCCATGAAATACCGGGCCACAATCTATGCAAGAGATGTGAGCCATTATTTCTCGTGTGTTAACAGTGAGTTGCAGGCCAGGGATATGGTAAAGAGGGATATGAATAGCAGAAATGGGCATACCAGTGTGCGGTTCCCGCTTCTAGGGCCCCAGGTACTCATATAACCGACTCCGATACCTCCTAGGAGTGTTCCGAAGATCGCACACAGGGCAGCGTCGGCGAAGCTTAGCTTCATGACCAACGTTCCTAAGGATCCGGTCACAATATTGTTGATCGCCATGCCCATGCTGAACCACGTGAGCAGCATTCGGAAAGAGGTCGAGCTCGTGTTCTTCAGTCGTTCTTCAAGAGACACGGGCTCTATCCCACGGGTCTCTAAGCCTTTGATGTTCTTCGTCCATCGTTCATATCTCGACCCACGCGATGGGAGTGGAGTTCCGGGGGTATCTTGCCGTTCATCTGTCACGCTCCGCAAAGAAGGAGATCTTTGGATTTTCTCGAGGTCGGCTTCCATACTGGTCGAGAGGCTGCGTGTGCGATCTGCAACAACTGGATGGTATGACCAGCTGGGCAGGAATCAGCCTATAAATGGACGAATTTCAGAGTCAGTCGCCTCACCGGCATATACGGGCAGGAAAGGAGCCGGAAGGTGAGGATTCCAGTGAAGCGACCACTTGTTACTCGGTGATACTGCACTGACATCACCTTGTTTTCCCCAGCGTGACACCCGCGCTGCTCTGAGGATGGCATTCCACAACCGAAGAACACTAAATCGGGCCCTACCGATCCTAGGCTTGATTGGAAGGGGTACTTGCACTTGTCCGGGCTAGTAGCACAAAGCTACAACCCCGGAAGAGAGGGGGTTGGTATCCGGATAATGGCCGGGAGACACCCGATTCCTCCGGATCTCTGCGTTGATAATGTCACTTGAGAGAAATTTCATTGCCTTTGCAAAGACGGCTAATATGCCTTTTGTCCAGGCAGTCATGTGCGTGTTCGCATACCAGAGATACTGCCGTATTAAGCTCTGCGATACATTCCTCCGGCATGCACCAACCATGCAAGGAGAGGAAATGCTGCTCAGGGAACAATCCTGATTCCTAACCAGGTCAAGTCCATGTGGTGCGGGGGATTACACGTACAGAAACAAGGTCGGGTATGAGATGAACTCATGGACTGGGTGGCCTCCCTTGGTCTTGCTTCCTTTCTACAGAGTGTCATCAACATTGGAAGAACAAGGGAGTAGGCTGTATCTTGTGATGGCATGACTGCACAGACCGAATGTCCATCTTGATTCATTCGAAGGGATTACGTGTCCGAACGAAGCCTACCGGCGACTCCTTGATGGAGCCCGCTACATGCCTACAAACCACGAGCGAACCGAGCTGCCTTGTTGGGAGTGACTACCTAGCAGGTGACTTGATGAATGGCAGCAGCCTTGTAACCGAGATCGATGTATTCCCAGTGTGTCCTGTTGAATAAGCGCTATTGCAGGTGCTGTAGGATTCACGGTCCGCCTCAAATTACAGAGTGACTAGCACGACGTAAAAGTGACTCGCCCTGTTTCTGATCCTAATAAATTGCGTAGTTACCACTTGTACCCTCAGTAAATCTTCCATCATTGCTATCTCAACATCATCAGCTCGGATTCTTGCCAGCATCGATCCTAAACTAGCTTATCGATCAAAGCCGAAACTAGTTGGACTATAAGGAATCTCAGAGATTATATCTACATTACCATCCTCAATTATACATCCTGTCCCAAAGGCACACAATACTCTACCACAAGCAATATTCTGCACTGTTCAACTACTCGAGCAGTCCAGTTCTTATCAAGCTTACAAAAAGTATCGATTACCCAAGACAGCCCATCATATCACTATACCCATTTCGCCTCAAGCCTCAAGGGTATTCGAATCCAAAGAACTCCATCGAAGATCGACTATATACCTCGGAGAAATTGCTCAGAATGATGGCCCTTGCTGCATGCATAAACCACTACTACTGGACGGTACATCTCGACAATAAGGTTTCCACCTAGAGTCAGCGTTCAACGCCCTCAAGAGTGGCCCTAATCCACGACTCACCGAAAATCATCTCAAATATCCTAAGAGGTACTTGTTGACGGTGCCCGTCTTCCTCAGCCTAACAATACGGCTCGACCACAGAGATGTCATGTGTTTCTGGCCGCTGATCTGTCTTGAACTCTGTCAGAACCGATCTCAATTCAAGGTATTATTCTGGAATTTAGGTGCTCCTTGCTATTTAATCAGAACTAGTCCTTCTGATGAAATTGGAACCAATTCCTACGCTATGTCTACGAAGAGTCATTGAAAGCAGCCACTGAGCAACGGTTTCGATACGTTTAATTTCTCGGACAGATAAGCTATTGTCAAAGGCCAATGATGTATCGAAGGGTGATCCAACAAATGCCTAGCCGTGCTTCTAGCGGCTCGGGACAACAATCCTAGAAGACCTAGGGCATGAGTTTCACCAACAGTTCTCTCGATCGAAAACACTGTACAAATATAGATACAGAGATAATCCGTGTCCTGGATGTACACGATAACAGACGCAATACACGACAAAAACACAAGCCTCATTGGCTCGAGACAAATTAAACAGTCGACCATGTCTGGTTCATACATGAAACCCTAAGATGGGACACTAGACAAGGAATCGAAAACATCCCGCATCAATCTCACTCAGCGTCTCGCGTTACTTTCTTTGTCAGGATTAAACCAACGTCCGCTTTTAATTGGCATACGAGCCAATCTACGCATTATGCACCCTACTGGGATTTCTTCAATCTTGAACTCCACATACAAGACCACAAGCTAGTTTCTAAACAGCTTTCATGCCGGTTATTCATCTCAAGGAGGATACGGCCCTTCAGATCGGATATTGAACAAGTGGACTGATTCTATAATCTCATCTGGCTTTCTATACGCAGTGGCACATCTTTGGATTGTTCACTGTGGCGTTAGCATACCATTACACGGAGAAGATTGTTTATGGCATGGATGCTACGCTTGTGCGCCTCAGGGGTTTTCTTTTCTGGGAGGGTTATCTCTGTGGGGCAGGTATAGCTGCTCTGCGCTGTGGATTGCTGAGATGGTGAGAGTATCTTGTGCGAGAGGATTGGGAGAGGAGAAGGTGGCTGGTGCCGCCAATGCGAGTTTTAGGATACCACGGTGGGTAGATAAGTCTTGGCTGTTATGTTGTAGACGATTGGTAGCCTGATTGCAATGAAAGCAAGATATGTGTGCGATGTTATTATGAATTATACTGCACCTGCGGGGGAATATGGAGCCATTTCATAAGGTGAATTGATGGTTAGGTCAATCTATTCGTAGATACATATAATAAAATTTCAGAAGTAGACCTCCTATATGAAGGTCAAATTTGTAGTGTTAAACAGTGCTTCACCCCAATAAGTGGGATGGATGATACCCCGCACCCGAAATCACTAGCTTCCGCGGGGCATGATGCAATGCCTGGAACGGACAACCTCTGTGATCATTCTCGACCTGACTTCTCTTCAACAAAGCACACAGATCATTGAACACCAGAGAACCCGACAAACACAATGTCTTCACCCAAACTAGGCATCGGCATCATCGGCGCAGGCGTAAGTCACCACCACCCCC